CAAATCAATTTGGTCATCACTCCACCAGCGGTCTCAATTCCAAGTGATAATGGTGCCACGTCAACCAAGAGGACATCTTGAATTGCACTGCTCTTATCACACCTCAGAATGGCTGCTTGAATTGCTGCACCATATGCTACCGCCTCGTCTGGATTGATAGAAAGATTTAAACTCTTTCCACCGAAGAATGTTTGTAGCAAGCTTTGCACTTTAGGAATACGAGTTGAACCACCAACAAGGACAATATCGTGGATTTGGCTTTTGTCCATTTTGGCATCGTTCAAAGCCTTTTCTACTGGATCTAGTGTACTGCGGAACAAATCACCACACATTTCCTCAAACCGTGCTCGGCTTATTTTTGTGTAGAAATCTACTCCTTCGTATAGAGCATCAATCTCGATAGAGGCTTCTGTGCTGGACGACAGTGTACGTTTCGCACGTTCAGCCGCGGTCCTTAATCGTCGCAACGCTCGAGGGTTCGATCGCAAATCCTTTTTATATTTTCGTTTAAACTCTTCTGCAAAGTGGTTTACCAATCGATTGTCGAAGTCTTCTCCACCCAAGTGAGTATCGCCAGCCGTCGCACGCACTTCAAATAGCGATCCTTCGTCAATAGTTAAAATGGAAACATCGAAAGTACCACCGCCCAAATCAAATATGAGCACATTACGTTCGCCTTTAAGGTTTTTATCCAGACCATAAGCTAACGCCGCTGCTGTTGGTTCATTAATAATTCGGAGAACATTCAACCCTGCAATGGCACCAGCATCCTTGGTGGCTTGACGCTGCGAGTCGTTGAAGTAAGCCGGCACTGTGATAACGGCATCTCTTACAGATGTACCCAAATACGCCTCAGCAGTTTCTTTCATTTTTGTTAGCACCATCGAACTTATTTCTTCGGGAGCAAACTTTTTCTGTTCTCCTTTGAATTCAACACTTAACTTGGGCTTTCCACAATCGTTAACCACTGTAAAAGGCCAATGCTTTATGTCCTCCTGGATTTTAGTATCATCATACTTTCGTCCAATTAATCGCTTGGCATCAAACACTGTGTTCTTTGGGTTCATGGCAACTTGATTCTTCGCAGCGTCACCAATAAGTCGCTCCGAGTCTGCGAACGCCACATAGCTGGGTGTTGTGCGATTACCTTGATCGTTCGCTATGATTTCCACTTTTCCGTGTTGGAATACTCCTACACACGAGTATGTTGTTCCCAAATCTATTCCAATTGCAACCATTTTTATGGCTTTGTACTTTTTTAATAAATATTTTCAATTAAACTGAATTTAACTTTCAATATTCAATAATATTCTGAAATTGTTTCTTATGCACTTGGTAAAAAGTTGTTTTAATCTCTTTTGTTTTGCTAAATGACTTTAGCTAAGTTTGTTATGTTTACTCGCTTTGACTTTTCAATTCAAACTATGCGGAGGAGAAATTTTCGGCCGCTATTTATATGAAATTGGTCGGAAAGAGAATTTTCGAGAACAGATTTCTTGACCTTTCTCGAAATGACTACGTGCTATCCGCTGTAAAAAAGGCAGACAGCTGACGATTGTGTGCAGTAATTGGGGAGAGAAATAAGAAACTGTTCTGAACAAAGTGGAGGAGATGCTCTTCTAACTTCAATCGAAAACGTTTATGCATATATATGTACAAATGTATATTTTGAGAAATGGGAGCGGAGAGTACCAATATATTAAAAGAGAAATAATGTTGTTTTTAAATTAAACAAGATTATATTTATCTTCTTCTAAACAAATATATAAACAAACAAAAGTTCAATCCCATATTGTTAAATCTGAGAACTTAGAAGAATCGTCGCGAAAAGGCGCTTGATGTAAACGCATGTTCGTAGAGGGAGATGGTGTCTACTTTTATGAATGAAACGACTTAGCTTATTGCATGTGCGCCAGCGTTCATGAATGAAAATGTTGTGTGATTTACTACAAATTTAGGATTTGTCAATTGTGACATACTTACATTTATTCGCTAATATATTTGTATGCATAACTTATTTTGCAAGGTCATACGAATATTTACATACATACTTACATATAGAGCAGTGCGCGACATATATTTATTGATAAGTGATAATATTAAAAATTCTATTCCTCCACGTGTACATACCAGAGAATGTAAATGAACTCCATATTGATGTACATAAGTATCTATCATATTTTAATAAGTTTTCATCACAAAAAAAACAGTGAATCAAAACTGCGGACTTACTGTATTTACAAAACCCCATAAATCCACACATATTGAGGAAGACTAGAAATTTAACTCTACTACAAATGTATTTATATGCAACTTCAACTAGTAGCATTTGCAATCCCAGGTAGCGGGAACACAATAAGCAGTATGTATACTTTTCATACAATAAGACAGTAGTTAAAATACAGACAAATAGTTGATTCTTAATGTAGTAAGAACACTGGTTTGGGTTTCAAATTTAATATATATAGTGGAATAGGTCTATAAATGTTCGGAAAATTTGAGCTGTAACTACAAATTCGTCAGGATTGAAGCTAGATAGCAATGCTTTCCTGGCTTTGCATGTTTCGGATCATTTTTTGATGCAGAAATCCACATTCTATTTGATATACTCACTCATTATATTATGGGATTACCACAACAACATTTGTTTCAATTTGTTCGGACTCCAACACTTCTTAGAAAGAATAGGTAGTTTTGTGGAATTCTTTGAAATTTGATAAAAACTAAAATAGTGTTTTCAAGAAAAGCTAGATCTAAATTAGAGAATACTTTTATATTAAAGGACCAACAAATTTCCAAAACTTAATCTAAAAACTTAGCAAAGTCATTGTTACGTTAAGAAATTTTATAGATTGTGAACTTTCACATAGCATTACGTTTAAGTAGTAAATGTAATATTAGTAAATTGAAGACTTATGTACATATTTTCAATTAAGAATCATAATTTGTTAATATTTCATTTTAATATTTCAAGACATAACAATTCGACAATTACTAGAAGAAATTTCATTCAAGAGAAATATTTAATTGATAAATTTAATTCCTACAACAATTTTATGAGAGTATTACTCATACTCTCCTTATCAACTGTCAGATACAAATTTAAATTAAATAGGTCGACTATTATATATAAACTTTTGAGATTGCAACCAATTGTGGTAGTCTCTCGAACTCTCAGATAGATTGTAAACAAACATGTAAGTGATTTTAATTTTGAACTATTTGTACGGCATAATTACTTTGCAGTTATAGACAGTGTCAATAAAACCTTAAGAACTAGTGTTTTCTAGATTCCTACTGGCAACATATTTTACGTCTCTTTGTTGTTTTTCCTATATAATCAAGAGTTATATTTCCGACAATTCTCTTTCGAAAGATTTATGTAAGTAGCGTCGAAAATTCTCCTCCCTAGTTCCCCAGAGAACGTAAATGACTTCTTCTAAATTCTCTGGTTTCACCTTGCTGAGAACAGTTTCTTATTTCTCTCCCCAATTACTGCACACAATCGTCAGCTGTCTGCCTTTTTTACAGCGGATAGCACGTAGTCATTTCGAGAAAGGTCAAGAAATCTGTTCTCGAAAATTCTCTTTCCGACCAATTTCATATAAATAGCGGCCGAAAATTTCTCCTCCGCATAGTTTGAATTGAAAAATCAAAACGAATAAACATAACAAAGTTAGCTAAAGTTATTTAGCAAAACAAAAGAGATTAAGAACAACTTTTACCAAGAGCATAAGAAACAATTTCAGAATATTAGTGAATATTGAAAGTTTAATTCAGTTTAATTGAAAATAATTTATTAAAAAGTACAAAGCCATAAAATGGTTGCAATTGGAATAGATTTGGGAAAACATACTCGTGTGTAGGAGTATTCCAACAGAAAAGTGGAAATCATAGCGAACGATCAAGGTAATCGCACAACACCCAGCTATGTGGCGTTCACAGACTCGGAGCGACTTATTGGTGACGCTGCGAAGACAAGTTGCCATGAACCCAAAGAACACAATGTTTGATGCCAAGCGATTAATTGGACGAAAGTTTGATGATACTAAAATCCAGGAGGACATAAAGCATTGGCCTTTTACAGTGGTTAACGATCGTGGAAAGCCTAAGTTAAGTGTTGAATTCAAAGGAGAACAGAAAAAGTTTGCTCCCGAAGAAATAAGTTCGATGGTGCTAACAAAATGAAAGAAACTGCTGAGCGTATTTGGGTACATCTGTAAGAGATGCCGTTTCACAGTGCCGGCTTACTTCAACGACTCGCAGCGTCAAGCCACCAAGGATGCTGGTGCCATTGCAGGGTTGAATGTTCTCCGAATTATTAATGAACCAACAGCAGCGGCGTTAGCTTATGGTCTGGATAAAAACCTTAAAGGCGAACGCAATGTGCTCATATTTGATTTGGGCGGTGGTACTTTCGATGTTTCCATTTTAACTATTGACGAAGGATCGCTATTTGAAGTGCGTGCGACGGCTGGCGATACTCACTTAGGTGGAGAAGACTTCGACAATCGATTGGTAAGCCACTTTGCAGAAGAGTTTAAAAGAAAATATAAAAAGGATTTGCGATCGAATCCTCGAGCCTTGCGACGATTAAGGACCGCGGCTGAACGTGCGAAACGTACACTGTCGTCCAGCACAGAAGCCTCTATCGAGATTGATGCTCTATACGAAGGAGTAGATTTCTACACAAAAATAAGCCGAGCACGGTTTGAGGAAATGTGTGGTGATTTGTTCCGCAGTACACTAGATCCAGTAGAAAAGGCTTTGAACGATGCCAAAATGGACAAAAGCCAAATCCACGATATTGTCCTTGTTGGTGGTTCAACTCGTATTCCTAAAGTGCAAAGCTTGCTACAAACATTCTTCGGTGGAAAGAGTTTAAATCTTTCTATCAATCCAGACGAGGCGGTAGCATATGGTGCAGCAATTCAAGCAGCCATTCTGAGTGGTGATAAGAGCAGTGCAATTCAAGATGTCCTCTTGGTTGACGTGGCACCATTATCACTTGGAATTGAGACCGCTGGTGGAGTGATGACCAAATTGATTGAGCGGAACAGTCGTATTCCATGCAAACAGTCTAAAACCTTTACGACATATGCAGACAACCAACCAGCTGTCACCATTCAGGTGTTTGAGGGCGAACGTGCCATGACCAAAGACAACAACTTGTTGGGCACATTCAATTTAACTGGAATTCCACCAGCTCCTCGAGGAGTACCCAAAGTAGATGTAACATTCGATTTGGATGCTAATGGAATTTTGAATGTGACTGCAAAGGAGATGAGCACCGGAAATGCTAAGAATATTACTATAAAGAACGATAAGGGACGGCTTTCACAAGCAGACATCGATCGTATGGTAAATGAAGCTGAGAAATATGCCGAAGAAGATGAAAAACACCGTCAACGCATAGCTGCTCGTAATCAACTTGAAAGTTATGTGTTTGGTGTGAAACAAGCTGCTGACGAAGCGGGAAGTAAATTAAGTCAATCAGATAAAGATCGAGTACTGGAGAAATGTAACGAGACAATTAAATGGCTTGATGGCAATACCACTGCCGAAAAGGAGGAGTTTGAGTATAAGCTGGAGGAGCTAACGAAAATATGTAGTCCAATTATGACAAAAATGCACCAGCAAACAGGGGGTGCTGGTTCGCAACCTGGTAATTGCGGTCAACAATCTGGTGGTTTTGGCGGTGGTAATTTTGGTGGACCAACAGTCGAAGAAGTTGACTAAATTCCAGTTTACATCATTCTATTCATGTAAATGCCAAAGAAAATGTACCTTTAATATTAGCTTGTAAATATATATAGAATCTGTTTTAATTATTTATTTTTCTCAATTATGTGAAAGTTGTATGAAAATGTTGTTATTTGACGTAGTAATTTATTTATACAATTGAATAAAGCGAACACTTACAAAAAATTTGAAATCTAAAATTTGGTTTTAATTTCATCGACATGTTCGATAACACCACATGCTTACGTCATCGAAATTAGAACTCTCCATCTGTAAAAGAAAAGTTACATTATAAGAAAAGTACTAGTTACATATATATTTCTTTAATTGTTGTTTAATTTACATTTTACTTACAATTGTAAATAGAAAACATTGTCATAACATTGATGTCGACCGCGACATACTAAATATATGTCCGCATGCAACGGGTATCCGCATAATACTAACCACTTCCTTGCATGCTTTCTGAGTCTAGCGTTAATGACTTCGATGACATTTAACCTAAACCTTACCACCCAACCGGGGATTAGATAACCAATACAACAACAACAGCATGAAACATTTTCTTGTTTCTTCAGTAAAAAGATGTACTCTATTTTGGTCATAACGTGAATGATTTATTTGAAGAAATTGGTATCCTTATCATACAACTTAATGCTCAATAAAAGTCTAAAAGCTGTTTAATACACAATGGGAACAAATTTGCATACATATATTTCTTTTGACTCTCTGAGTATGTTGGTATTGCGGAAGGGCGGAATCGGACCGTTTTCACGGACATAAATTTTGTTTGACCTTGTCCGCTAATAGATTTAAAGTGGTTATCTTGTATATCTGACAAACCACTAAAGCTAAATATACCAAACTTGCTGAGAACAAGCCTTTTTAGATCTTCTCACAATGTGTGAAAATTCATGAAATCGTTTGTTAACTGCGTCCGCTCTGCATAACATATGACTGTTATGTTGAAAACTACTAAATTGAGATAACGCATAAATAAAAACCAGAAACATTAAATTCCACTTGAAATGGGACGGAAAAGCTACATAAGATTCAGTCTAAAAATTGATTGGGCACCGTCCACATATCTCAATATCAACCAAATTTGGTGTTAATATTCTTGTGTTACCGTGTGAAAACGGGAAAACAAAAATTATATTCCATCTGTATTTTTCATTTTAGAGTACATAAATCAGCACCAAAAAAATTATGGGAAAAAACTCCTCGCAAATAGCTTTTTAAGTCCAATTTGTCGAAATCGAAACATAAATTATATGTGGACCCTTATACTTAATGTATCAGTCTTTTAGAAATATTAATGAAATTAAGAGAGTCCTATATCAAATATTATTAAAATCGGCTCCATAGTTTCCCTAACCGCCATATAATTAATATTAAAATTTTCGAACTTTCGATTGAATTGAGATAGCGTTCTTCTACGATAATTGTGTCCTTATACAAAAATGGCTATGATCGGGTCAATACTTGCTAGCCCCAT